CAGAATTCCTCAGCCAGCATGCTGGCTGAGGAATTCTGGGAGTTGAAGTCCGCACATCTTAATGTGGCCAAGGTTGAGAAACACTGCTGTAGCACCTCATTTAGTGCCCCAACGCTTAACCAGCTCCTTTCCTGGGGGCAAGGCAAGGAGAGGCAGAGGTACACGGGGGATCCAAATTTGCAAGATGGTGGGTGCGGCCTTGCAAGAGAAGCCCCGCCTCTTTTGTATGAGTGTATAAAAATGGCAGGGCTTTGATCAGGATCTTTTGCCCATCGTCTTGCAAATTCTGGCACCCCCGTGGACATCCTGATGACCCCCAACAGTGCCAAGTCCCTTCTCTACCCTCAGAGGCCCCTTTGACCAAGTCTGCTACTATCTGGGGCTAATTACCTACCCGGTGAAGCCACAGCAAGCGATCAGCAACCAGCTGTCCAGTTAGAACAGCAGTTTTTGGCAGCTCCCAGCTTTCTTTTCAAAGGCTGAGTAATTGTCTTTTTTTTTTTCAAAAACAAAACTATGCAGAAAAAAAAGCCTGCAGTAGCTCAGTTGAAATCGCAGCCACTGCACAGGTCAGGGGAGAAAGGTATCCCCCAAAATTCCTACCCATACATTGGGGTGGGGAAGAAACCCCACCCCCCAATGACAGTGCCTATAAAAGCAGGGCTTAAATTAAAATATCATTCATAGTATATTGGGCACAGGGTTGCAACATAATAGGGCATATACTCTGTATGCAGAAAATCTGCAGGTGGCCAGAAAAGTTAATCCTTTTTTATTACTGCAGGATATGGCTGAGCAGGATTACACAGCTCAACCTCATACAACTCTTAAGCTGTTGGGGTGTAAAACTAACCCTCTCCTTTCAGCACTGGGGTCTGCACAGCCTGCTAACTACACCCTGTAAGCAATCAAGCACACCACGCAAAGCCTGCCAAGATGAGCACACCTTTAAAGGAGGCAAACGTAGGCTGAATCTGGCTTGTGGTCTGAAAGATCCCCTTCCCTGTTTTTGAACGTTATCACTCATTGCCAGCATCCTTGAGACAGAACTGGTCTAAAATATTGGCAATAATTTGCAATATGCCAGGTGTACGTTTTTCACAGCCTTCCTCCACAAACCCCTCATTGATCACACCCCCTATTAAATATCTACAACTCCTGTAGCTGCAGAAAGGGAACACTTTTAACTCTGCCTCCTGCCAGTATCTTTGATGGAAACTGCCCCAGGAATTATAAAACAATAGGACAGTGTGTAAATTTTCAAAACTAAGCAAAAAATATCTTGGAAAAGGGTCAAGATGCTCCCAAGATGGCAGCTCCCATCCATGAGAGGTGCCAGTTTTTAATCCTTCCAAGAAGTTGCTCTTTGCTTTATTGAGCTCGAAATTCTGCTCCTTAAATGTATGGAGACATTCAGTATATTGACTTAAGGTAAACGGAAATAATTCTATACATGCCCTGTTAGCACTTCATTATTCGTTATCACATCAGAGTTCTGGCACTGAAAATAAAGTCTGAGATTAAGCCAGACTACCTAGAACCTATATTGGGACTATTTTTTTTTTTTTTTGCCAGAACTTTAACCAAGAATTTGAGAATCTCCTTGCTAAACTTTGACACTGTGCCTTTAAATGGGTATTCAAAAATGGCCCGATTAACAATCTGCCTGGAAGGATAGATTGTAAACTGGGAGGCAGCTCCTGGTGGCCTAGCCCTTACTGGTTGGGAGAGATAGCAGTAAGTCAACCGCAAGCAAGCTTAAATATATAAAAATACACATGTATATTAGAATTTAGTTTCTCACTGGCAGAGACGAGGTCCATGTACTGGCAGAGGGCATGAAGGAGCAGCCGTTCAAAGCTGCAAGAAAGAGAAAAGGCGGCATTTAACAGCTCCACTCAGAAATTCTCTGTGTGGGAATCACTTCTGATAGCTTTCATCTTACTTGTGCATAAAGCACATTTAGCTGAGAAGCCAGGAAGATGGCAAATGACTTCTCCCCAGAGAGATCAGACCAGGTGAAGAAACACAACAGGACATCAAATCTTACCTGCTTTAAGAGGCTCCTTAGGACAATACTCAGAGTAACTACAGCAGTGTTTCTTGCTGGCTGGGGAATTCTGGGAGTTGAAGTCCACCCATCTTAAAGTTGCCAAGGTTGAGAAACACTGAACTACAGTAATCATCACCAATAGTGGAGTTAGTTCTAACTCTAAGGCAGTACCTTTGGGAAAGCTATAGAATAGTGTTTTTCACCCTTGGCAGCTTTTAAGATGTGTGGACTTCAACCCCCAGAATTCCCTAGCCAGCATGGCTGGCTGGGGAATTCTGGGAGTTGAAGTCCACACATCTTAAAAGCTGCTAAGGTTGAAAAACACTGCTCTAGAATATCTGACAGTTGCTTAGGGAAGCAGCTTTTTTTTGAGGAGAATAAGGAGAAACAGGAATATCTGTAAGCCTAGCATCGCAGTCATAGCCTTTGAAAAGGTGATCTAAGCTTTCAAATGCTTTGGACTTTATCTCTCTCATTCCCAGCCAATATGTAGGATGGCAAGCAATTGTGGGATAAGGAGTCTAAAACATCTGGAAGATGCCACCTTACCTGTCCTGGATCTACCGCTGAGTCCCAAGCTGGTTGTATCTCTCGCCTGCCAGTTCATTCTGATTTGGCGAGTATAGTTCAGGCTTCACAAGAATGAAACTGTCAGGTAGCATCTGCACAAACCTGGAGGCTTGACTAGGGAATGCAGTCACTAGGAAAGGCTTGAGCATATACATTTACCTGCTGGCATCTCTTATTCTGGGAACAGTGGGCAGGGGGGTTCTTTTTGATGGGAATGGCAAAAAAATAGGAGATGAGGAATGAATGAATGAATGAATGAATGAATGAATGAATGAATGAATGAATGTTGGACAGACTCTTAACATCACACTCTTGTTGCTCTGAGATTCCTAAAAGGAGATGATGTGAAAGAAACAGTATAAAATGAAGAGAGAAAGAAAGAAAAAGAGAGAAAGACAAGATGATGCTGGGAATTACCTTTTATATCTTTTTATACTTTACTTCCTCTGCTACTTAATAACCTATTTCATTATTTTTACTTATTTAAAATAGCTTTGTAATATGCCCCCAAAACTGGGGGTACTGTATATGGCCCCTTGATGTACTCCCAGATCATGTTGGTTTTCAACAAGGCCATTTTTTTTCCTTAGACCTTAAAAGCCTAAGTGCATCAAACAGCTGCAAGGCTTCACCCAGCTATTTCATACTTCCAAACATTAAGTGTTCTAAAAGCAGAAACAAACCGTGGGCTACTAGTTGGGGGTAGGCTTCCTCTGGTAATCTTCTCCCTTGCTGTCATTCTCCCACCAGCCCTCAAGAGGCTTAAGAAGTTTAACAAAAAAACAAAAAAAACACAACCTTGACTGAGAGCCAGTTTGGTCCAGTGGTGAAGGCACCAGGCTAGAAAGCAGGAGACAGTGAGTTCTAGTCCTGCCTTAGGCACAAAAGCTGGCTGGGTGACTTTGGGCCAGTCCCTCTCTCTCAGCCTAGCTCACCTGACAGGGTTGTTGTTGTGGGGAAAATAGGAGGAGGAAGGAATATTAAGTATGTTTGCCGCCTTGAGTTATTTATAAAGATAATAAAGGCAGGATAAAAAATCTAAAATAAAAAACATTGCTCACTCCAAGACAGGAGCTAACAGTAGTGGAAAAGCAGGTTCAAATGTCACTTACTACAGGCACTAAATGAGTAGGGCCAAGCCCATTTCCCTTTCTTACTGCTGCCCGCTGCAAAATGTAGTCTGTCTGTCTGTCTGTCAATCTATCTATCAATTATAATCAATCATATTTATATAATACCTGAACCACCACGTTCTTATTCAAGTTATGGGGTGATGATGGTATGTGCTAGAAAAGCCACAAAAAGAATTATTGTGCCTCTTAAGAAATCTAGCCTAGTTATCATGCTGGATGAATTTTGAAACCAAGTTTCAAAGATGCCAGGGGGTTCAGCAGGTTCCATTTTTTGGTTCAACTATCCTGTATTTCTTAGAGTCACAAGGGATTCCTACAGGAAAACCATCTCACCGTGGCTGATGTTTTCTTCTGAAATGTTCAGCCATAAGTATCTGTTGGGTATGTTTTAGGAAACTCTCTTAGCTCTATTAGGGGTGCTGGAAAACCCAGACCAGCAGTCGTCCAATGCAAATGGGTTTCCAGGGGAGTCTGTGGGGTTGGTGGTCAAAAAAGTCAAGATGGCAACAAGGACTGTGCGACTGAAGCCCCTCCCTATTTTAATATGCCTTATAACCATCATCTTGACTCTTTTCATCCTTTCTCCACGGGTTGGCCTTGCAGAAAAAGCTTCCAAAATTCTTTGCAATACAAGAGGGAGGGTGTCAAATTCGCCACAGATAAATCCAAGGCAGGACAGTTTAAAAATGGGATCACAACAGTTGGAAAATGAGAACAAAAAACTCAACTTTCAAAGCTCCAGAAGAAAAGTGTGACTTTGTTTAAGATGTTTTCCCAAGCGCTGTTTAGCTTGGGGGGAAAATTATAGTGATTCTGGATACTTCCCTTGACACTCACCAGGCTTCCTGCTCAACCTTATTTAATTCCTACTACTACTACTACTATCATTATTATACATTCTTTTATTTTAAAAAGGAAATGAGAAGCTTGCCTCTTGCAAAATAAGGGACCGGGCCTCTAGCAACATCTTTATTTATAAAAATGTCTCTAGATTCCACAGGTGAGCTCTCTAAATAAAAAGAACAGGCCAGGCTGGTGAAGAATTGCCCAGAAAATGAAAGGAAAAAGAAGTTAGTTGGGGAAATAAAGAGCATTCTACGAGTCAGAGGCGGCCTTGGTGACTGATTAGGCCCACCCTAGCTGCCATTTTGTAAACTCCCACAGCGGCCATTTGAGGAGAAAGTCCTAACAGGCTCTCAACATTCAAAATACATCCAGTAGTTGAGGGTCTGGTTAAGCTTTGCATGCCAAATGCCACTCTAGCCATTGCCGAGGACAGCAGTCAGCAATAGGGTTACCTATTGTCCATCATAGCTGTGTAGACGGCGTGAGGGTTAGTGGAGAAAAAGGCCAGCAACTCCTCCTCCAAGCCTTCCAGGGTCCCCTGTAAAAGAAGCAACAAGCGACATCTTTCCATCTACAACAGGGAACATCTACATCAGTGTTTCTCAACCTTGGCAACTTTAAGTTGAGTGGACTTCAACTTCCAAAATTCTCCCGCCCGCCAAGCTGGCTGGGGGATT